GTTGTTACTGGAGGCACGCCTGACATGAGACCGCCAAAGAATGGATCGCATACTCGCTCTTGACTGAAGATACCGAGGAGCGCACAGTTAGTGTTGTGTACATTTTTGATAAGAAGTCGCAGAAAATCGTGATTGCATGTATCGGATTCGTTTTTACACGAACTTCGGTATCTGTCTTGCAACGCTCGCTCAGAAGTGTCAATATGGGCGGACCGGGTGCCAATCCTACACCAAAATCAGCAGGGGCCTCTGCTCCCAAACTAGTTGTCGCCGCTCCTGCAGCTGCTGGAACTCCCGCACAGTCTAGTAGGACACCGAAGATACTGGAGGTTTTGCACAATGTCACAGATGTTCCAATGGATGAGCTTACTCCTGATGCGACACTCGAAGAGATTGGAATCGATTCTCTCTTGGTTACTGAAGTCTTGAACGAGATTCAAACTGCTTTTGGCCTTGAGATTGACCTCAACACGTTCCTTTTCCTTCCAAACGTCAAGGCTGTGTGTGACCATATTGATTCTGCCCTAGGAGTCGTCCCAAGCGCAGCTGTTGAAGCTTCTGCTCCGGTCGAAACAAAAGTCAATGGCGTTTCCAAAGTAAGCGCGTCGCCTGCTATCCCAGAAGGTGATTCAACGCCATCGTTCCAGCGTGCTCAGAAGCTCTTTGCAGAAAACAAAGACAGCTATGAAAGGGCTGCTTTTCAGACCAAAGCTGTGGGATTCTGGAAGGAATGCTACCCTCGTGAAGCTGCGCTTGTGCTAGCATACGTCGTGGAAGCATTTGCCAAGTTAGGCTGCGACATGTCTGCCCTCAAAGCTGGAGATACTGCCCCCATGATTCCACATTTGTCTAAGCACAAGCAACTTGTGCGCCAACTGTACCGGGTGCTCGAAGATGGTGGACTCATCAATGTGAATGATCAAGGCCACTTCATCCGCACATCAAAGCCTGTCGATCCTACGCCAGCATCGACCATATATGAGGAAATCATTCCAGCATTCCCACTCCACGCTAGCGTGCATAAAGTCACTGGGGCTGTTGGAAAGGAGCTCGCGGGGTGTTTAACTGGTGAGAAGGATGGTCTTCAAATAGTGTTTGGTAACAAAGAGAACAAGAAAACCCTCGACGATCTCTACGAGAACTGGCCTCTTGTACGCTCTGGGACGATCGCATTGGGTGAGTACCTTGAGAAAGCCATGGCAAACCCAGATAGACCTGGTAAATTCCGCATACTGGAAGTTGGAGCTGGTACAGGTGGTACAACTAAGTACATTGTTCGCCACTTGCAGAAGTTAGGTATTCCCTTCGAGTATGTCTTCACAGACTTGTCAGCATCGCTCGTTGCAGCCGCCAAGCGTACATTCAAAGACTGTCCTGAGATGGAATTTAAGACATTGGATATCGAGAAAGAGCCAAAAGAATCTTGGGTTCACTCATTCCATGTCGTCATCTCAACGAATTGTATCCACGCGACAAGAAACCTGACCACATCATTGACGACGATTCGTAAGCTTCTTCGAGATGATGGTGTCGTAACATTGGTCGAGATTACCCAAAACATGTTCTGGCTGGATATTGCTGTTGGGTTGTTCGAGGGATGGTGGCTATTCGAGGATGGTCGAGAGCATGCAGTAACACATGAGTCGCTTTGGAAAGAACACATGCTCCGCGCTGGATTTGCCGCAGTGGATTGGACAGACGGTGAAGAACCCGAAGCACGTACCATTCGTGTTATTGCAGGGTTTCCTACAAACTTAAGTGCTTGATGGATTATGATTTATTTGTCGTTGTTAACTCATTGGGGGAAGCAGAATTATCATCATTTAGAGGATTTGTATATAGAATTAGACGTCGACGGAATAAATATGCTTCTGGTAAATATAAGATGTATATAAAACTCCTTGAAAGCCTGAGTGAGAGATAGATATTGAATGAATACTTGTGAATTGAGATGTAGCTGTTAGTGCTGAGCATAGAAACTGTGACTTCGAAGATGTTGAGTTTTAAGATGACGAAATCGAATAGAATTTGGAGAATAAAGTGAAGAGCCTAGCAGTATTAAAGAGCTGAGAGCTGATGTTGAAGAATTCCTGCAATGTGAAATGTATAGGTTGGTGGAAAGCGGAAAGAATTCGTGGTAAAAGCGTGTAGGAAGGTCAATTTACCAGTCAAGACTCGGCTCACTCTTCCGTGTAAATCTTCCCACTTATCTTCCACACAGGAAATTAGTTCTCAAGAACGAGTCTTGTTCTTGATAAATGTACGTTCACAGATTTGGTTCTGATTTCTAAGAAAGGATGGAGATTGGGACGGCTTTTCAAATGTGCAACATAATATTATAAATTTGGTGATCCTCACCGCTCGGCAGAATAATTTATAAATTGTAGATATTAATGATTGATGCAACCGGATTCTGTTATTGCTACTCCAGCCGGCATATAAGCTTATATAGAACCTTCATTATTCAAACCATTATCTTGCGGCTTATTGATCGTAATATCGCATTAGCGCCCGTGGCTTTCTAAACCAGCTTGCAGGAAGGCCAAGGGAACTCGCATGCGTAGATGATAGATAGATGCCTTGCAGCAAACCAAACTTTACCAAGCAGGGTTGCTTTGATTCAACGTTCTCCAAGGCCTCGTTCTATTATTATTCCATACCAAGACTGAAGTTCTGACGAGATGCTCAAATGGGAGCAGCACGTACAACGTAAGGTCATCAAAAGGGCGTAATCAAGAAGCCGATGTGAATCCGTGAAGCCCATCTTCTCCGTATGTTTCGATTTGAATCCATCTAGATATATGAGACCAAAATCGTAGTTTTAATCGTCTTCATACAGTAGGTCCACCTCGCTAAGAACAAACTGTGGGTAAAATGGCTCAGAATCTTTGACTCATATTCTTGCCCCTCAAAAAGATCTGTGCAAATACTGCTGGCAGGACACGCTTCTTCATTTATGGATAAGCGCACACCAAAAAAAAACTTTAAAGGAAGTACAAGATCCTCCATGCGCTGCATGAGTGGGCTCTTGACATTGTCCGTCAAACAACAGGAACCAGAAAAGAAGATGTACATCTGAGACCCTGACCTAGCTCCCAATGACTTTTCATCATAAACTTGCTAACAGAAATACGACTAAATATCGTTGTGGTACCAGCTCCATAAATTTCTTCGACATTACGGGATAAAATACCTGCCATGGCCTTAGCCGTTTCCCCTTATGACTCAACATTACACTCCGTACGGAGTATTTTCACACTAGCAGTGCCTAGAGCTAAAAATGGTCACAGCATGGTGCCCCTACCTCCGTACATCCATCTCAATAAGCTCGCTGACTAATAGCAATTTTTGCACTCATGTCCCTTGCTAGGTATTTCCACACTTCTATGTCCTGCACACACACTCCCGTAGCTGCCAAGGAAGACTCTTAGGCGGCCTAAAAGTCTTTAGGGCTCTCATAAACTCAGTGTATTGCAGATTGGAGAATCCCTGCGAATAGAGTTTGGAGGCTTGAATGTTCGGGCCCGAATGTTCAGACCTGTTTCTGTGTAGAAATAGCGGTAGATATTTCCATCGAATATTACCTTGTCGTAGTTATATGCTCTAGATCGGGTACCTGGTACTCCTCTATAGGATCTGCTAACAATTCAAAGATTAAATAGATTTAAACTTTTCTGCCTACAAGGCCTCTTCCTCGTACAACTAGAAAGCATATTAATTGCTCCTATTCTAGATTAGATTTGTGGGGCTAAACTTTAAAAGAGAAGTGGTAGAGCCAACGAAATAGATATAATAAATTATTTTCTATTGTTTTCTCTTGTTTTACTTTTATAGATTCATACAGAAGTAACTAGTTTTTTTTCTAATTTGCTCGCTTCAATATATTTTTGCTACGTTGGGGAAAGGTTGTATAGTTTGACAAGATCTATACTCTTGTTACTCTCGTCGACATCTTTGGAGAAATTTTCTGCTCCTTCTTGAAGCAGAGTAGAAAAGGAACGTATTGTGTGTGTCATGCTTTCTGGTCGTACGAGTAAAGTCTCTCACTGTGCCCCTGGATTCAAGCTTTATGTACTCTGCGGAGCTAAATCGTTTATCTCTTATATCCGTTTCTACGGGCGTCGGATATAAGTTCAACAGTGGATGCGGAGATAAAAGCACGGCTTGTGTTAGAGCATCCGAAGTGGTACATATTCCGTAAACCCTATATATTTGATGTTGGGACCATGGGGCTGGGAATGTCTACTTGCATCGCTTGTATGGAGGAAAAGATTCGACAAAGCTTTCATCGTATTCGTAGATGTACCCCTAATCTGCTCCGAGAACAATACACTCTTGCAATAATGTACTCTGTACGTACAGAACTGGAGTGTGCAGAGTAGATGATGAAAGAAAAGTAAAGTTCTACTCGAGTGCTACGGAAAAGGCAGGAGCAGGTAGGTAGGTATTTCTCCACCAAATCTCGGCAGTCGGATCTTGAATACCCCGATGATTGACGTTTGCAGCTTATCAAGCTGGGTTCTAATTCAACACATGTGCCTGCATGGAATCAGGAGTACCTTATGTACGTATTAAGTGTCAACAACAACAAAAACCACCTCTTCAACGTCCTTAATCCTGAATCTTGCATAAACACTCAGCCTCGCTCTATTTCATTTTAATTTCAAAATCTCATCACACATCACCAGGCCATACGCTTATTATAGGACGGACTACCGGCCTGTTGTGTTTTGGAAAAAAAAAAAAAGAGAAAGTTCTGTGGGTGATATTTTCATTCATTCAATCAGTCAATCAATCTATTTGTACCAACAAACTCTCCTACCATAAATAACCTCATCATGAGTACGAGTGGTCCGCTCGTTTCTACCGCCAATAGCTCAAATGCTCAACAACAATCTCAACCACCACCAAAAGTTCTTAGCTGCACAAACTGTAGAAGACGTAAGATAAGATGCAACAAAACAACAAACCCTTGTCTCCCGTGTCAGGTGAGTAGACTGTGTTCTTCCTATCTTTCATCCGTCCTTTCTGGATATCGGTGACCAACTCACAGTCAGGCATCTGGTACGGAATGTATTTTCCCTACCCGCGTCCGCAATCCTCGGCCGAGACAGAGTAATCCAAAGTCTCGTGATGCTGAGCTGTTGAAGAGGATCTCTCACCTCGAAAGTTTGGTGAGCAGAATTGATGCCACAAAACTCACCGGTGATGCCAGTCCGACAGAAGATAATAGCCGATCAAATGAACCATCACCAGCAACGCGGACTCATCGTTCTTTCACATCCCCAAGTAATCACCCCAAGCTTCAGGAGACTGGCTTAATACCGGGTCGTATGGATCATCAATTTGCTTCATTCATAAAGCGTCAGGAGACCGACTCAATTTATACTCATGACGGCTTTTGGACGAGATTAAGTGAAGAAATCGACGGATTGAAGCAGCTCATCGAAAACCCGAGCGACGACGAAGAAGAGGCTTCTGTATCAACTGCAACATCGCCCGCATCCAAGTATGATTCCCCTTCGCTGTTTTTCTTTGATTCCAGGGTCACTTCTTCCAACATATCAATGTCGTATCCGTCCGACCGTCATCGCGATATTTTATTTGGATTTTATTTCAAAAATGTTCATCCTTTAATAACTATAATGCATGAACCAACGGCATACCTCACGACACATTCAGATTCCGGACTAATTGACCGAGATACTGGTCGACACAAGTTCAAAAGTCTTCAGGCTATCACGTGCTCTTTTTGCTTTGCCGCAGTAACGAGCATGACAAATGAAGAATGCCTCGAGCAGCTTGACGAAGAAAAGGACATCTTAGTGGCACGGTACAAAACGTTGACGGAGATTGCTCTTCAGGAATCGGATTTTTTAAATAGTGTGGAAATCGTTACTTTCCAAGCTTTGTTAGTTTATATTGTAAGTAAACTTCTCCTCCCACCAGGCATCTTGGCCGGTGATTTTGTAATAGTTTATTTATGTACGTATTTTAGGCGGCCATGCGCTCTCATGATCGAAGTCGAACTACCTGGACATTTATTGGTCTGGCAGTTCGCATTGCTCGTGCTCTTGGGCTTCACAGAGACCCTACCGGCGAACCTTTCGATGTACAGATGCGAAGAAGATCATGGTGGACGTTGCTCGTACTCGATACTAGAGCTTCTGAAGATCGAGGTAGTGAAACAATGATCACGGACGGCTCTTTTGACACGAAAATGCCTGCCAACGTAAACGATGAGGAGTTCGGGACGGCTTCTAAATCTCCTGTGGTGGATAGGATAGGACTTACCAGCATGGCTTTTCCTTGCATTACAATGACAGTCAGTGCAATTGGATTGAAGATGAATTTCGTGTCTACCCAAAAGGATGCGCCGGTCTGGACCACGGAACAGAAAGAACAGATGATCAAGGGATTTACTGATAAGGTTGAATCAACCTATCTTGCAGGTTGTGATCCCGCAGATCCTAAATCCTGGTGGGTTTGTCGCATAGCACGACTTTTATCACTCAAATTATGGTTGTCTACACAATATCCGCTTCAGCGTAGAAAATCGACGTATCGAGTACTTCCTCGAGGACAATCTCTGCGCACTGCCATAGCATATCTAAACTTGAATGAAGAGTTGCAGCAACATGAGGGTTGTGAAGGGTGGTTTTGGCTTTTCAAAACCTATGTCCCATGGCATGCGATCGCTGTGGCTCTAGCTGAGCTTTGTGCTGAACCGACTGGTCCTCTTGCTGACGAAGCGTGGGGAGTTATTGAACATCATTATAATAAATGGAGTGAATATGTCGCGGATACAAAGGATGGAATGATTTGGCGACCAGTTAAGAATTTACTAAAACGAGCCAAAGCAGAAAGGAGGCGAGAAAGGGCCTTCAGTGGATCGCAAGCATCGGGAGCCACCCCGACACTTTCCGAAACTAATATTTACAGTCCACCTTCCGGATTGGGTCCCGAATTCTCCTCAGTCATTCCAGAAAATAACAATTACCATCAGCCATCAACGATTGAACAAGCTGGCCCAAGTGGACATAACCCATACGGTCCAATGGGCTTCGATCTTCCCATACCTATGGCTCCTACCGCCATGGATGCGAATATGGTATCACCATTAAATATTCCGGACGCTTATACAAATGCACATTGGAATGAATTCATTTTCGGATTAGCAGCCGTTGGTGCGGACGTACATCAAAATCCAGAGATGTGGAGTGCATATCAAGATTACTTTACTGGCTCTTGAATATTTTGGGAAAGCATTGAAATCCTCATATTCGCCTGCAACTACTACCATCATCCTTTTATGATGATTGCTTGGGTTGGACAGTATGTGTACGATCAGAAAGACGTTGTAATATCAAATATCTCCTCTCGTTTTAACTCGTTTTACATACATATTAGACCAAAAGCCGGGGGAACATCTTCGGATAAATTAAGGTTATGAGACCACGAATTTCTTACTCTGTAGTTCCAAGCACGCACAAGCCTTAGGAACAATTTCAAAATGTCGATAATTGGTTTCTGATTTTGGCCCGCGCGCAACATTTTATCACGGTATGGATACTGGAGGACATTCAAAGTCATGACAACGACAATTACTATTTAGGTAGTAAAGCCGTCGGGTACCGGTACAATGGAAAATCTTCTCGTACGGAGATTTTACTCGCAAATAGACAAGATCGAAATGTCACATTCAGATAGCTTCTAACAATCCCTGCGTCAAGAACCTAGGTCTCGCCATGTGGAGGAATATTTGGGTGAAACAAATGGTGAAGCGAATTTTGATTCACTCTCCGACCGTGCAAAGGCACGTACATAAGTTTCGAAACAAGAATGGCTTAGGGCGCCTAGTGATGAAAATGCTACTTGAACATGGCTTAATTTTTAAGCCTCATCTGGAAAATACAGTAGATTTTCTTTGTTGTAGAAATAATTTGGGCGGTGCAGAATTGGGGCTTGCGAAATTTTATAAATCCTAGCTGGAAATAACTGCATATTGACGGTATTATCAGAACTTGACACAATCCCACCTGTTCTATGGAATCATTGTGTGTAGATGGAGCTTCCATCTTATGTATGAATGGATGTAGGGGGAACAATTGAGGGCATGTATACCATGATGGACCGTTGCATGAGACGCGAAGTAATTGACAGACATCAACTTCTACAAGTTCATATGAAATTGGAGCCTATTCCCTTTAATCTACATGAACAGTTCCGCAATATTTGATTAGTAATCATCTTCTTCAAGAAGGTGTAGATTTCATCCTCATGGATAGCCTAGACAATACTTTAAATTGCTAGCCCTACTTTGTATTTCGCAAAGACCAAATCGATATCAACAAGGTCACGAGTTAGTATAACTCGTTCAGTTATTCGTCACATGTCAACTAGTCATAAGGTTACTTCAGGCTTATGTCATATAGTTCCCTTGCCCTTTCGGTCATAGGCCGATCTTTGTTTCATCCCTAATACAAGCTTTAGCCACAGCAGATCTAGTCAAGACAACCATGCTACAACGATTGCATCGCGCATCATGTTTGGATTTTCCAAAAGCAGACTGTTGCGAAGATGGACGTGACTAGTGGAGACTCATTAGTGGAATTCATTCATCATTAGCACACAACAATCCTCAACCAACTTTTCCTTTAATACGAGATGGACATCGCTTGATTTTCATATCTTTTTGCAGACAGTTATTTCTTTGCTTGTGCTTTTGCCGGGAAGTTATGGTGACTGGATCTTTACTACATTTATTTAATCATGGGTTATGTTGAGCATATACCACAGCAGCGCGTCTGGACGCGAAATCTTTTCGTAATTTTTGCTTCTATCTTACTTTTCTTTAATACTATATTATTATTACCCTGGGGGATATACCATGTTCGGTCATTTCTTCATACCGATAACCATCCTATCTCACAATATTCTTCCACCATTGCTTCTCTCGAAGCTGTAGATATTGGTCAATTGCAAGCAGGGGGCGATATTGCAACAGTTCTCCAGACAGCAGCTGATATCTTGGGCTCTGTAAGCGCGCAACATCACCTTGCCTCCTTACAGGCACTCAGCAATGATTTGCAAAAGTTAGCTGCGGATACACAGCAAGCACATAGTGGAAGCAATTTGCGACCCAGAGGAATTTTTGAGGATTTTGCTTCAGCATTCACAGGTGGGGCAGGGAAAGGAGGTGCGACGGGAGGTGCTGGTGGAGCGAAAGCGGCCACGGGAGGAGGTGGATTCACGGGAATTATTGAGTCACTTGGAGCGAAATTTCTTGGTATTACTGCCGATTCACTGGCCACACCAGCGCAATTCCTTGGCGATGGTGTCGGAAGGGGTGTTACCAGTGGTCTCAAGATCAACAATGGAGTTAAACAGACTTCGGCTCAAAAGCCATCTGGTATAAACGCTATTGCCGACAACCTTGGATTTGGGTAAGCAAACTATCGATCAAAATTTGTGAAATTCGTCATATTTCATGGTTTGTTTTACTAATTTGAATGTCACAGAGTTTCTAATGCCCTCGCGGGAAGTCTAGACACCTCAACATTTACTCAAGGTGCAGGAGCAGCTTCTGCCGCACTTGGGACGGGTCTAGGAGGAGGAACTGCCAGTGGCTTAGGGCTTAACAAATCAGCCGTTGCTGCTCCCAATGGAACTGGTATTCCTTTGATTATTGGCAACCTTGGAAGTGGCCTTACCCAATCTCTTTTTTCAAACATTGATATGTCGAAATTAATGACTGGTTTACCCACTGGCATGTTACAATCTGCAGTTGTTAATGCTGGAAAAGGTATGTTTGTCCCTGTCATGTAGTGAATTGACGCTAATGGTATTACAGGTTTGGGAGAAGGTGCTGCAGAAGGTCTTAACTTACCTATGAACACAGCAACTACCATGAAAATGGAGATGAAAAGGGCTGCTGAAGCTGCTGCTGCAGGAACCAACGCCACGGGCTCCGGGCTCAATGTTGACATGGTTGCATATGGGTTCACCAAATCACTGTCAAGTTCATTCCTTGGCGCAGTAGATGTTCAAAAATTAGCAACACAAGCCATGTCCGGATCTAATCTTTCCAGTATGGTTGGCCCTGTTCTTGTTGGAGCAGGTTCTGGATTGGGTGCTGGTGCTGCACAAGGACTTGGTCTCTCTAATGCAGTCGTTGCTCCCACCACTGGAGCCGATACTGCAGGTCCGGAAGTCGCGCATAACTTTGCCTACACACTTACCACCAATTTCCTCGCGAATGGAACGCTACAAACCTTACAGACTAAACTCATGAGTATCATGTCCATGACCAATATTTCTAGTATGCTAGGCCCGGCGGCACTGGGAGCTGGAAGTGGTATTGGACAAGGTGCTGCTGTGGGGCTTGGACTGCAAGACCCTTCAACCGCACAGACTCCGATGGATGGAGGTATCGCTATGACTGCAAGAGATTTCTCATATGGTCTCACCAGTAACTTCCTTGCAAATGGCACGGTTGCACGTCTTCAGGCTAAAGCAGCATCTCTTCTAGGTGGAGGTTCAAACTCCTCCGCCGGAGGATTGATGTCAACCTTGCAAGGTGTATCTGTTTCCAAGGCAGCTGAAGGTCTCGCAAGAGGTCTTGTCGATGGTGCTGGTCAAAGTATTTCCACCATGGGGGGTATCCAGGCAATTATCAATGGAGCCAATTCAACTCAAGCTATGATGCAAGCAGCGACACCGATTTTCAAAACGAACGATTTCAATGATACGACAGGAGGAGTAGCAACTTCTTTTGGCCAGGGATTGGGTGGTCAGGGTGTTGCGTTGATTGCACAAATGCTGGGAATGAGTATGACCATGCCTGGAAAAATGTCAGAAGCCCCAGCACCAATATCCTCCTCCAATGCTCCTGCAAGCAATCTCCCCTCATCAGATCCTCTTACAGGCAATTTCTCCTCTCCAGCTATGCGCGCACGTTCCTACAGATCCTCCTCTGTAATCCGTCGAACTGTACCTCTCGCACCCACACTCCCCAAACTCAAACTCGACAAAAGAGTCGATGCCAACACTAACCTCAATATCTCCGATATCACATCTGGGCTCGTCAGCGGTGTAAACACGACATCTCTTGATACTCTTCTTCAAAAAGGTGTTGATACTCTTACATGTCAGGGTGTTGGCGGCTTTGTACAAATCTTCATGGGCTTACAAGCTAGCGGGAGTATTCCCTCCACTTTTGCTTCTGCAGGAAGTTCAGTCATGTTACCTAATACGTTTTTCACGATTGCGAGTCAGGGTAATGAGTTTAAGATTAATCCCGCGACGCAGGATATTGAGGTTAATGATGTTCCGCTTATTAAGTTGGTGATTTTGATTGTGGCGCATGGTACGTTTCTTTCTTCGTGTCTTTCTCCGTTTCCCCTTCATTCTCACCCAAAATATAATATATAAAGGAAATCAACTAACCCCCACCACAGCATTCCTCCTCATCCTCATCTATTTCATCGCCATCCCCTTCGCGCTCCTCCTCTCATCCGGCAACGAAATAGCAACCATACTCGGACGACCGCACATCTGGGCCTCCGCCCCCAAAACCCGTTTCTACATCTGGGTATTCCTCGTTCTGCCCCTCTCCCTCGGTGGACTCATCCTCGGGATTCTCCTTCTCGGATCCGGTCCGCACGGAAACACATCTCATGGAATCATCGGCTTTATCGTTATCGCCCTCACATTCATCGCGTTCATCCTCGAAATGAAATTCTACGAGAGCATTAAAGCACTGCGATTATTGAGGGGTATTGTACTTACAGCTGTACTCGCAGGCGCAAATATAGCGTTCGTGACGGGATTCGTAGATATTCAGAGAATTAGTTTGTGTACGGTTGAACTTCCTGATGTGGTGTTGATTGGGGCAGCGATGAATGTTACGAGTACGTTTACGACGGGCACGACGGTTGTGACGGTTAAGATGTTTATTCAGAAGTGGATGGGGAGGGAGATGAAGGGGGTTCTTTCTGGGAATGTGGAGAATATGGATGCGAAATTTGCGGGGGATGTGGAGAAGAGTGGGTTTGAGGATGAGAAGGTGGGATTCAGAGATCGTATTAGGAATTTGGCGGGGAAGAATGATGTGTAGAGTTTGTGTGATGAGTTGGGTTTAGGATGAGGCTTTGATTGATTGAATGAGTGGGTGGTGTAGGATAGAAGTTAGGAGTAAGTAAGGATAAAGGGAAGGTGAAGAGATGGCTGTACGGATGGATGGATGCATGGATGGACGCACGAACGCATAGATGCGTAAGATTCAAGATTCGAATACCCCTTGGAATTCGACTGGTCGACTTCTGTACTATCTTTTAATAATAGCTATTTAGATCTAAGATCTTACTTCATTTCATTTCATTCCATTTTATTTTATTTTATGTAAGATCAAGATCTTATTATTACCAAATTGGTAGCTTCCAAGTTGTAAATGAGAAAATTTAAAAGGAGCACTCACTCATTGTATTTGATTCTTTTCTTTTGATCCCTATCATCTCTTTTTCTATTTTCTATATCTAATCGAATTCTTCAGATCTTTTAGTTCTGCTCAAATGTTGGTGCTGAGCATATCATTCAAGATCTTAATTTACTCATTGAGCGAGGATATGTTTCCTGGTAAGGTTTTAATGTACTGAATGAATGACTGAAGAGTCTGTATATCGTTTATTCAAATGCTTTTTGATGCTATAAATTTGTTATTTGAGTGTCAATTGATGGTATAGTTGTAAAAAAAGAATATATATATATATACGGATAAAAATATAACTCCCTCTCCTTCTATAATCGAAACGAGATTCTTTCCTCATTCTCGCTTATGTGGCATTTTCCATCAACTCCCCTCCCAACTCCCTCTCAACTCTTCATGTCAACTCCCATCCATTCGTCACTACAAAATTCCCCAAATTCAATCCCACATGCTAACTCAATCCCACAACCTGAAAATTATAATTACACAAATCCGCTTTATCCACCACATCCAACGGACCCTTCCCACTAACGACCACCACACCCCCAGCATCCAAAACACTCATCTCTACAGACCCCGTGGAAATATTATTCACAACCATAGTATTAAACCCCGCACTTAAATCCTTCGTCCCTAAAACCTTCCCCCCAACCCTAATACTCCCCCTCAAACCCCGCACACCCCTCGCAACCAACACCACCGCGGTAACACTATCCTCCACACCATCCATACCCACCGGTTTCCCCAGTCCCAAAGTATCACCTGCACAATCCCCCCCCTTCAAAAGCGTATGATGCCAAAAAGTCCCCTGAGCATCCTTCCCATTCATCGGAACCATCGACATCGTACTCCTCGCCCCGCTTTTCCACACGCTGATGAAACTCTGCAGGATTTGCCAATAGCCTCTATGATCATATGCGATACTCGACAGGGCTTCTGGAGTACTATTTGAAACTAAAGGTTCCGGCCAGGAATTTCCCATGTAATGTGATTCGCCTGCGTCGTTCCAGGTTTGGAATTCGATGAAATCGGGTTGTAGGGTTAGGATTTGATCGAAGCGGTTTTCGAGATTGGCTTCGCCGCGTCGATACCAGTTTTGTGTTTTATCGATGTGTTTGAATTGGAGGGGGGAGATTCCCATCATGAATCCTTTTCCGGCAGCTTTGGCTGCGTTCTGATATGTGACGTCGTCGATGGTATTGACGGGTACATCGCCGGCTGTATAGCTGGGCCAGGAATTCCAATTGAATGTTCCATTTAGAGTTGGATATTCGGTAGTGAAAAATGAAGAAGAGGCAGCTACATCTTGAAAGGAGGGAATGAAGTAGATGGGATGACCGGATGCAGACATTACTGCTTGAAGCTCATTTTTCCAGCCGTCGTTTACGGTGTCTTGACCAAATTTAAAGTTCGAGGCACCACCGTTAAAGGTGGAGACAAATGGTTGGCCGGAATAGTAGTAGTAGGCGCTGTTAGTGACATAGATTTTGAGGATTGGGATGAATTGAGACGGGGATGTAAAACCGGTCATGTCGAAGGAGAAACTGGGTGTAGATATTAGTGAAGAATTTCTTACTTTGAAGGAGAATGTAAGTACAATAGTTTGAAGTTATGAGTTTGGGCATATTTGAAGAGCGAGGCGACTGTGTTTGTTGCCCATGAATTGCTAGAATCTAATGTTACGGCTAGATGATTCGATGATTAGATCATGTCTGGATTTCCTGTTGAATGGTAATCTACCGAGATTAAGAGCAAAAGCATCGACTCCTAAAGCTATTGCATCAATGATATCTTGCTCACAATGAGCATCATTGATTCCTCCTACCATGTAGTGAAAGAAGCTAATGTCGGATTAGTACATCTCTAGTATGACTAAGTATGATGCTTACACTGGTTTTTCAGTAGCTGCTGCATTAGAATTTGCTACTACAGTGCTTGACGGGGACTTTGAAGTTGCAACTGCATTTAAAGAAGTCCTGCTAGTAATATCTGAAGTAAAACTACTAGTCGCTCGCACGATCGTCGATGTTATATGAGCAGAACTGACAGCCGTAGGAATAGAGGTTACTACAGAACCCGTCCCAGTAGACCTCTGCAAAGAAGTAAATTTTCCAATTCCAACCGAATAACCAACAATCAACAACTTACCAGAACCGCCGAAGTAGTAGGAACCACAACAGAAGAGACACAAGTTCCCGCTCGATGAGAAATATGATCATAAGCTCCAAGTAAGCCCACTTCACAACAGAAATCATTTCCATCCAGCCCAGCCCATAAATTCCAACTATCATCTGCGCATTTAGGAGCTGCTTCAATAACGCTACGACATTCACTTGCTTTTGAATATATATTAGATTTTCGGGAATCTGAAGAGAGGAGCGAAATATCTTACCATTAGTACAACAAGCAGCAACTTCTGAATTTGCAGGTTTGGCACAAACCATATTCGATGGACAACATGCTCCAGGTGCAATACTTCCACAAGATGTACTTCCTACCGCACAAGTCTCCGCCTGGAGAGACCAACCCGGAGATCCAATAATATTGCGATTTGTGTGAAGAGAATTCTTAGGTAGATTTCTTGCTAGAACCAAGCTTGAAGAAGCCAGAAAGAAAATGAATGACAAATGCATGATTGCAATAATAATGATGGTTTAAAACAGCAACTCAGATATGCGCAATCTGCTCGAAAGATTGTAGGAAGAAAAAAAGAACTACTCAAGAGTAGTTTCGACCCAAAACACAACTCGCACAAATAATAAGATGTTATAAAAGAATGAATAACACCAAGTCGTAGTTTAGGATAAGATTGAGAAAGAACGAAAAAGAAAGAAGGACAAAGTACTTATAATATCCACAGTGTTCCTACCATTGAATTAAAGATTAAAGATGATCCGGCATATAAATCCTACGGTCTCAACCGCTATCATCCCGTATGACGAGTATGTAAATGATCCATCATCATCAATTACATCTTCATCTCCATCTTAATCTCCTTACTCCATGCTACCTAAACCTCCCATCATTCCATTAATCTCCCACCATTTTTGCCGCTCTCACTCTTCACTCTACCATTCCTCTCCTCTCCATAAATCTCACAACACCAAGAAAATAAATTACCTACCAGGTACCTACCTACACACACAGGATCAACATCCTCAAAAAATATGGAGCACCAGAGTAAACCAATAATTCCTCCCTCCACGCACCTTCTAATTGGTCAATATCATTTATCATCGATCTTTCTACCTTTCTAGCGTACTACTCAAAACCAACAGCGCCACAATAAATTTCTAAAAGGACTGAAGGATGAATGAAGTTGTTGTTGTTGTGATTACTGTGTACATTGGTTAGAACGGTAACCTTAACCAGGTTGAATTTTTAGGTTGGGTCTGCTGGGCTGGGCTGGCTGGGTTACTCGTTTAGTGAAACGTACTATTTTACTCCGTGCTATCAATTCGACGGGATGCGATACTATGGCCTTTCGTACCCGGTTGTTGGTTAAGTAGGGTTAAGGTTACATTACGAGTAGTAGGTATAATATAATCTTAATATTAGGTCTGATATAAACAATAAAATCATTACATAGAGACTTAGACTTGCTTATATACTAGATAACTCTAATCTTAGATATATCATAAGATTACAGTCCTACCAACGATGAAACATATCTATGAAACAATCTACAATTACCCAGATAGATCATTAGCATCTCAAAATCGAGTTCAAGATCTAATAGGAATAGGTGAGATACTACATGCAAATAGGTAAGGTTAACCTTATGAACGAACATAAAAAGAAAGAGAAATTTGCTCAAATTCCCATTTAGATAGCAATTGATATATTCTGAGGCAATATAGAATGGAGATAAGATGCATAGCATATCAATCACTATAAGGTTCGAATCTCAGGGCATTATAAATCTTATTTACCTACACTACTCCTCTATAAATATAATAATTCCTATCCTACGTATTCTAGATTCCTTCTATCTAATTTCCTATTTTAATAACTATTTATCATTTATCATTTACCATTCCTACTAAATCCAGCAGCATCAAGGAACTATCTAATATCTCAACCCTCTCAAAATGATCTTTGTATATCTAACTATTCTATTACTAGTATACCTACCTAACTATTCTACCAATAATTATACACCAACATCCCCGTACAGCCCAAAATAAGTTTACATCTATATAAACAAGATCCTCCCTCCTCCCTCCTCCCTTTGGATACTGTCCAAGTATCCCATCCCATCCCATCCCATCTCTCCTCCCATCCCATCTCCTCCCTCCCCATACAAGCATCAACATAAACATAAACACAAACAAAACATAAAGCACAAAGGTCCTTAATTCTCAAGTACCCAATCCTCAAATACAGTACTCACTCAATTTTTAAGTCTTAACCATAAGTAGTCCATCCAGTGATTGGTGTTGCTGATGTAGGCTTGAATGCGGTTGGATGAGAGTTGGGTCTGTTGACGTTTGGCCCCAGATGTCTTAAGTCTTAAATAATATCTTATAATTATATCTTTGTTTTATGTATTTTATACTTTAAATTTCAGATTTTAGATTTTAGATTTAAATTCGGGATGTAAGTTAAATATCTATATAAAATAATATCATCTTAATATATCATATAAAAGTAAATACAACGAAAAAAATCATAATAATACTTATAAGCCACCAATTAATCTCTTATATTTTAATATTCGATATTTGATATTTGCTATTCGAGATATACAAAACTACCCTCAAAAACCACCTTTAAAAACCAGATCCAGATTCCTCACCCCAAACAAATCCCATTTGATCCATCTATTTATCCCTTACTTTTTCACAAAAATCTCAAAATCTTCAATTCCCAGATTCTCAAATTTAACCTTCATTCCCTTCCTCCTCCTCCCTCTCCTCCTCCCTCCCCTCCTCCCTCTCCTCCTCCCTCCCCTCCTCCCTCTCCACCCCACCTAAACAAAAATCCCCCAAAATCCTCCAAATAAATTATCATCCAACCATCCCAACCATCTAATCATCTAAAACCTCCATACATCCCCTCCCTCCTCTCCTCCACCCCCCCTCCCTCTCTATCATCCTCTCCCCCTCTCCCCTTCACTCCCTCCATCTTTTGACTACCCATTCCCATTCCCATTCCCATTTCTATACTGCATACTATTTCTACATACTATATCTACATACTATACTACATACTACATCCTATCCTATACTCGAATAAGAATAAGAATAAGAATAAGAATAAGAATAAGAATAAGAATAAGAATAAGAATAAGAATAAGAATAAGAATAAGAATAAGAATAAGGAGTTGATAATTACTAGATACTAGATATAGATTTAAGAGGTTTTGAGAGGTCTTAAGAGGTTTTGAGATAGAAGGTGCGGGGGAGGAGTAGTTAGATAGATATAAACTTAGCTGATGATAAGTGTGTGTGTTATACCATGGTAGTGCTTTATATAATATACTTCTCTATATCATGATACTTCTCTATACCATAATACTTCTCTATATAGTATACTAAAGCTATAGAACAGAAGAAATAATATACAAGTGAGATACAAGTGAAGTCTAGGTGTAAGTGAAGTGAAAAAGGAGAGGGAAAAGAAGGAGATATAAAATGCATCATTATGGGAAGAGTACAGACAAACAAACATAAAATACCCAACACAACATTCAATCCATTCATGCATTCACCAAACGAACAAAATAAGTATAGATAGAGTGTTTATTCATTCAATCAACTAACAACCTCATAGCATATTTCCCAATGCAATTGAGATCAATGCAATTGAGACCAACGCGATTGAGACCAATGCGATCGAGACCAATGCAATTGAGACCAAACAAAGCTCATTGAGAAGTACTTTCATTCCCGATACCGCTCAAAGCAAGTAAAGTTATTCCTGGCCACCATTTTATACCTGCTAGGTAATCTTAAACCCATCAACAAATAAACAGAATTCAACGCAGCCATCCCACGCAGCCATCCTACATCCCACATCCATCAAACATTCGACAAAAGGTGTATGAAAGGGAATTGATATCCATGTTATGATAGAAACTCCCTTGCACAAAAAAAGGCAAAGAAGAATCATGTAACGCCCGAGTGCCTGATCCTCTACGGAAGAAAAGATACTGAAAGTTGATATGATAGCTATCCTATCCAATCAGATGTAATCCTCTATTGAAAGATGCTAACAGTTGATATGATAGTTATCCTATCCAATCAAACTAAGCATCAGTCTTGGTCTTCTTCTTTCTAGACTTTGGTGCAGATTTTGGTGTTTCAATTGTTGCTTCTTCTTGCTCAGTGGTAGCAACGGGTTCATCTCCCTTTTTGCCTGAACGCTTACGTTTTCTAGCTGGGCTTGCCTCCTTTTGAGGTGGTACAATAGAAGCGGAGGATGGAGCGGGGATTTCTTCGGCGACTTCGGATTTACCCTTTGATTTACGACCTTTGGCCTTTGGTGTCTTTGGGGCAGGGGTTGGTGATTTCTCTACTTCAGCTTCGGCTTCAGCTTCAGGCTCAGGTTCACCTTCTGCATCTTCTTCCTCCTCAACTGTAGCTGTAACTCCGGCACTGGCTTCTCCTACGAGTTGAGCATCCGCTGAGGCATCAGCACCAATGTTGTTCTCATCAGCATATGCGGCGGCAGCATCATCACTCATCTCCTTGGCGGAAAGGTTACCTCTGCGATAGGAGTGCATGCGCGCATTATACAAACGGAGATTGTCCTTGTAAGCATCTTGCCAAAGCTGTAAAATTTATTAGTGGTGAATAAAAACGGTTCGAACCGGTGAAACTTACCGCTTTATCCTTGGGAGCCATATCAGTCCATCTTTTCGTACCTTCGCTAGAAACCTCTCCCTTGGGAACATCACCGAGATCTTTTGCGATAATAGGACGAGCTGTTTGCATGTAGAGGAAGAAGGGAGTGAGAGGACGCTTTGGCGCATTTGGATCATGTTGTCTCTTCTTCCTTTCCTTCTTCTCTGGAGCAGTCTCAACGGCCTTTACTATAACAGGACTTGCAGCGCGTTGAAGAGCACCAGCACGACTTCCGAGGAGAGGATTTTCACCAAGCTTGAAAGA